TTCAAGTCGATGCGTCCGACGGCGACGACAACAACAAAACGTTTTATCGAGAGCAAGAACAGGGACAAAAACAACGACAGAGACGGAACCGAAGACAAACTTAATTCTTTCCTACATCAAAAACAAAACAAAAATGATAACAAAGACGTAAAACAGCTACAGAAAAGTTCAACAAAATTATAACAACATTAAAACATCAGAATTACCAAACACAAAAGCAACAAAATAAAGCAAAATCAAGAAAACAACAAAATCAAGAAAAACAACACAAAACAACATAACAATACAACAAAGCAAATCAAGAACAACAAAAGCAAACAACAACAATAACAAATACAAAACAAATCAAGAAAAAAACAAAAAAACAACAACAATACAACAAAAAATCAAGAAAAAACAACAAAAAAACAACAACAACAACAAAACAACAACAACAACCAACAACCCCGCCCCCACAACCGAACCACAACATCCCCGCCATTTAATCGTCGCTAATAACCACTAAACACCATTATATCATCTTCACAATTACGCCGATTAGCCTTATCGAGGGCAGGGCACGAGTACCCTCCCGTGCCCAGCAGCTCGCTTCGCCGTCGCCATCGCTGGATGACCTTTCTCCTTCTCTCTCTCCTTCTTCTCTCTCTTCTTCTTCTTCTTTCTTCTCTTCTTCACTCTCGCCTTCTCTTCTTCTTCTCTCTCTCTCTCTCCTTCTCTCTCTCCTGCTCTTCTCTCTCTTCTTCTCTCTTCTCTCTCTTCTTCTCCTCCCTTCTCTTCTCTTCTCCTTCTCCTTCTCTCTTCTTTCTCTTCTTCTTCTCTCTCCTTCTCTCCTCTCTTCTCTTCTCCTCTCTCTCCTCTCTCTCCTCTCTTCTCTCTCTTCTCCTTCTCCTTCTCTCTCTCACTCTCTCTTCTCTCTTCTCCTTCTTCTCTCCTTCACTCTTCCTTCACTCTCTCCTCCTTCTCTCTCTCCTTCTCTCTCTCTTTCTCTCTCTTCTTCCTCTCTCCTTCCTTTCTCTCTCCTTCTCTCTCTTCTTCTCTCTCTCCTTCTCTCTCTCCTTCTCTCTCTCTCTCTCTCTTCCTCTCTTCTCCTTCTCTCTCCTCCTCCTCTCTCTCTTCTCTCTTCTCCCTCTCCTTCTCTCTGTCATCATGCATCTTCCCTTCGCTTATTAAGGCGCGACTAACCTTTCTCTCGTGTTCTTTTTTTTTCGTCTTTTTAATCACACGGTGGAAATAACCTCTGTCATTGCTTCGGTTCTGTTTTACCTTAGCGAGGGTGCAAATGCGGTGAATTTAATCTTTCTCCTTCCCTCTTCTCTCTTTCTTTCTTCTTCGCAAGGGTGCAGATTCTATGTTGTTTTCACCGCACAGACAGATGCAAATACGGTGAAAATAACCTTTCTCGCTGCTTCTCGTCTTCTCGTATTATTTTATTTTATTTATTTATTTATTTTTTTTTTACGGTGAAGATACCCCACTGCAAACAAATCCTTCTTTCTTCTTTTTTTGACAGTTTTCTCTCCCCCTTCTCCTCTCGCTCCTCCCTCTCTTCTTTTTTTTCCTTCCCTGTCTTTGTTTGATGTTTTTTTCCTTTACTGACACTTTATGCACCCCCCTCTCTCCCTCTCCCTCTCCCCCTCCCTCCCTTCTCTCTCCCTCCTCTCCCTCACCCTTACCTCTCACCCTCACCCTCTCCCTCCCCCTCTCCCTCTCCCCCCCCCTCTCCCTCTCCACCTTTCCCACCACACACATCCCCCCCCCCCCCCCACACACACACCCGCACACCGACCCCAACACACATCTACCTCTCCCCTTCTCCCTCTCCACACTTTCACCCCAACACAAATCTCCCTCCCCCCCCACCCCACACACACCCCCGCACACCGACCCCACGCGCACCCCCGACACACCACCTTTAAAAGCAGACATGATTCTACGCCACTAAAGCCGAGACTCCGCCGCTGTCATACGTATTGCCACACAAGGAGCCAGGGGGAGGGGGGGGAAGGGGGATGGGAAGGGGAGGGGCGGGGGAAGGGGAGGGGAAGGGGAAGGGGAAAAGGGGAGAAGGGAGGGAATGGGGAAGGGGGGCGGGGAAGGGGAAGGGGTAGGGGCAGGGGGAAGGAGGGGGCTGATGGAGGGGGGAAGAGGGAAGGAAAACCACAGGGAAGGGAGAAGGGAGGCTACCTCGGGAGAGGGTGATGTACTGGGGAAGGGAGGGGAAGGGAGGGGAGGGGAAGGGGAAGGGGAAGGGGAAGAGAGGAGAGTGGCTTGAGGGATGCGGATGTGGGGATTGGGAAGGACTAAGGGAGAAGGACATGCGAGAGAGAGGGTGAAGGGAGCAGATTGGGGAATGGAGAGAGAGAGAGAAAAGAAAGGAGAAAAAGAGTGTACCAGAGGCAAGGTAGATACGAGAAAGGAAAGGAAATGGGAGAACATGAAAGAGAGTGAACCTGGGGAGAAAGGGAAGAGGGGAGAGAAAGGAAATGGAAGGAGGGAAGAAGGAGACAAGAGGACAGGGAGAGGGTAGGAAGTTGGCGAAGAGAGGAGAGTGGACGGGGGGGGACAGAGGTGGGGAGGGAGAGGAGGCAAGGGAGGGGGGCGAGGAAGGGGGAGGGGGGAGGAGTCATGCCCTGTTTTGCTTCCATGCTTGTTACGCCTACTCTCTGCTTCTCCTTCTTCTCTCTCTCTCTCGCTCTTTTCCCCTTCCTAACCTCATTTCTCTCTCAGTCTTCCTCCTTTATCCTTTTTCCTTTCTCTCTTTTCCTCCTTTCTTTCTTTCTCTCTATTTTCTATCCCTCTTTATCAAAATTATGTTTTTTGCTATTCATATCTCGTTTTTACTACCCCGTTGCTATCCTTCTTCATCACACGCACACGCACGCACGCACGCACGCACATAATCAAGGTTGCAACACTTTTGCCACTTCTGTTATCAGCTGCCTTGTTTCCGATGTTTATCAGCCATTTGGCTTCTTTCTCTCTTTCTTTCTCTCTCTTTTTCTCTCTCCCTCTCTATCCACCTTTCCTCCTCCTTCCCCCACCCTCCCTCTCTCTCCTGATTCTCTCTCTCTCTCCCTCTCTCTGCATCCTTCTCCCCCCTACTCTCTCTCCCCTCTCTCCTTCCCCCTCCATCCCTCTCTCTCCTCTCCCATCCCTCTCTCCTTCCCCTTCCCCTCTCTCCTTCCCCTCCCCCTCTCTCCCCTCCCCCCTCCCACCCCTCTCTCCTCCTTCTCCCTTCAGCGAAATGCGTAGGCGTCGGTCCCGGGCCGAGGGAGGGAGGGAGGGCGAGGAGGGAGGGAGGCGAGGAGGGAGGGAGGCGAGGAGGGAGGAGGGCGAGGAGGGAGGGAGGGCGCGGAGGGAGGGAGGGCGCGGAGGGAGGGAGGGCGAGGAGGGAGGGAGGGCGCGGAGGGAGGAGGCGAGGAGGGGGGAGGGCGAGGGAGGGAGGGAGGGCGAGGAGGGAGGGAGGGCGAGGAGGGAGGGAGGGCGAGGAGGGAGGGAGGGGCGAGGAGGAGAGGAGGCGAGGAGGGAGGAGGAGGGAGGGCGAGGGAGAGGAGGGAGGGAGGGAGGGCGAGGGAGAGCAGCTCGCTTGCTTCAGTCAGGGAGAATTTATCAGCGAACTGCCCACGGAGGAAAGGTTAATTAAAAGCGGGGAAGGTCGAGACGGCAACACCGAATCCAACGGGGGATCCAGATGCCAATGCGCTTTTTTTTTTTCCCTTTTTTTTTATTATGAGAATTTAGCGGGCAGTCGCTGAGTTGCGAGTGGGTGGGGACGGCAGGTGAGGGTGAGGAGGGGCAGGAGAGACAAACAAGAAAGAGGAAAACATCCCTCCTTCCCCTCCCCCCCCTTCCCCACCATCACTTCGAAAAAAAAAAATAAGAAAAAATCACTGACCCACATAACAAATCCAGGAATAATAAAAAAACATGATAAAGAAAGAAAAAAAAAGAAAACGTAAAAACCAGGCTCACCTGCGGATCAGGAACGTGACATTTATCCCAAACATGAGCTCAGTTGCAGGGGAAGGGGAGGGGGTGAGGGAGGGGAGAAAAGGGGAAGGGGAAGGGGAGGAGAGAAAAAGGGAGGGGAGGGAGGAGAGAAGAAGGGAAGAGGAGAGGGAGGGGAGAAGGGAAGGGGGAGGGAGAGGGAGGGGAGAAAGGGGAGGAGGGGGGGAGAAGAAGGGGAGGAGAAAGGGAGGGGAAAAGGAGACGGAGGGGAAGGGAGGGGAGAGAGGGAGGGGAGGAAAGGGAGGGGAAGGGGAGAGGGAGAAGAGGAGGGGGGAGAGGGGGAGATAAGGGAGAGAAGGTGATGGGAGAAGAGAGACAAGGGAAGGACAGGGGAATAAGAAAGAAGGGGAGAGGAGGGTAAGGGGAGGAGAGAAGAAGAGACTAGGGAAGGGAGAGGGTGGGAAGGAAAGGCAGAAAGGAGAGAGGGAGAAGAAAAGGAGAAAGGGAGAGCAGAGGGAAGGAGAGACGGGGAAGAAGCCGGAGACGAAAATAAGGGGGAAAGCGGAGAGAGGCGGGGAGCGAAGGGAGAAAGGTAGAACGAGAATGGAGAGAGGAGGAAAAGGAGAAGGAGAAAGGGGGAGAGAAGAGAGAAGAGAGAAAGGGAAGTAGAGAGGGAAAAGGAGAGAGAAAGGAAGAGATGAGAGGAAGGGAGGACAGACGGAGAAGGGGAAGTGGAGAGGTGGGGAGGAAAGGGATAGGAAGGAAGAAAGGAGAAGAAGAGGAGGGAGTTGAAAGAAAGGGAGACGAGGAAAAAGGGGCGGAGAAAGAGAGAGGGAGAAGGGAAGAGAGGAGAAAAGAAAAGGAGAAAGGGAAGAGGAAAGGAAGGAATTTAACAAAACTCAAGAAAGAAAAAAGGAAAAGAAAAAAGAAAGAGAAAAACACAAGCACCCCCCCCTCCGCCCTGAAAAAAAATCAAAAGAGAAAACCAAATAACGAAGAAGGGAAATAAAAGCAGAGAAGAAGGACTGGGCAGGATCCCAGTGCCACCGCAGTGCCCCAGAGACTCGACCGGCACCGCAACACGTGGCACTGGAAGACAACCCTCCCCCTTGTGTCACTGCGCCCTCCTGTGACCCCCTGTGCCTCGTGGCCCTCCCCTGGGTCCCCTGCGCCCCCCTGTGACCTTGTACCCGATGTGCCCCCCCCCCCTGTAAGCATGTACCCCTCTGTGTCTCTATACCCCCCACCCCATGTGCGCTCTGTGCCCCTATCCCCCCCGTATAACACCCCATGTAATCCTGTACCCTTCTGTGTCCCTATACCCCCCCGTGCCCTTGTGCCCTCTGTGCCCTTATGCCCCCCCTATTAACCCCCCCTGTAAGCCTGTGCCCCTCTGTGTCCCTATACTCCCTCCCCCTTGCCCTTGTGCCTTAATGCCCCCCTATAACCCCCCCTGTAATCCTGTGCCCCTCTGTGTCCCTATACTCCCCCCCCCGTGCTCTTGTGCCTTCTGTGCCCTTATGCCCCCCTGTAACCCCCCTGTATCCTGTGCCCCACTGTGTCCCTATACCCCCCCCCCCCTCTCGTGCTCATGTGCCTTCTGTGCCCCTATGCCTCCCCCCCCCCCGTGCCAAGCAGTATGCTCTCTCGCCAGACACAGATGCCCAGACACTAATTACAACCCCTACCCCCCCCCCCCTCTCTAGCGCCATCCCTCCTTCTCTCTCTCTCTCTCTCCTCTCTCTCTCTATCTCTATCTCTATCTCTATCTCTATCTCTATCTCTATCTCTATCTCTCTCTCTCTCTCTCTCTCTCTCTCTCTCTCTCTCTCTCTCTATCTCTATCTCTATCTCTATCTCTATCTCTATCTCATATCTCTATCTCTATCTCTATCTCTATCTCTATCTCTATCTCTTCTATCTCTCTCTCTCTCTCTCTCTCTCTCTCTCTCTATCTATCTATCTATTTATCTCTTCTTTTTTCTTCTTCGTCTCTTCTTCTCTTCCTCCCATCCCTCTTCTGCTTTTTTCCTCAACGATATAAAAAAAGACTGCAAAGAGAGGTAAAGAAAACAAAACTAAAGGAGAACGAGAAAGAGGAGGACAATAAATCAAAAAGAAAGTAAAAAGAAAAAACAAAATAGAAAAAAAAACGACGAAGGGCTCTTACTGTTACTACTTCTGCTGCTAATAACAACAACAATAAACAAATACATGAAAAAACAATCAAAATAATACCAACAACAACAACAATAATAATAATAATATAATAATAATAATACACCAATAAGGAAATAACAAGAACAACAACAATAATAATAATAACAACAAAGCTAACACAATCGCAAACACTGATGAAACAATAACAACAATACCAACAACAACCTTAATGACAACACAACCCTTCACACTATTTTGGCATCGCCGCCAAGACCAGGCAAGCGATCGCCGGAAGCTACAACTTAGGCGCCAATAAAGGGGGAGGGGGAGGGGGGGGGAGGGGGAGGGGGAGGGGTAGGAGGTTGGGGAAGGAAGCAGGAGATAGGGGGTAGGGAGGGGGGTGGATAGGGGGTAGAAGAGGGGAGGGGAGAAGTAGGGGGAGTGGGGAGGATGTAGGGGGAGGGGTTGGGAGGTAAGGGGAGGGGGTAAGTGTAGGAGGGGTGGGAAGTAAGGGGAGGGGGAGGTGAAGCAGGAGGGGGGAAGCTAGGAGGTAGGGGGGGGAGGGTGTGGGGGGAGTGAGGGGGAGGGGAGAGGGGGATGTGGGGGGAAGTGGGGTGAAGAGGGAGGGGGAGGGGGGAGGTGGCGAATGTCGATAAATATTATGCAATCGTTGGCAAACCTTTTGTCTGATTGATGTTTTTGCGAGCTGCGGGGAAATCCTGCTTCCTATTCAACGAGCTCACGAAAAATCGGAAAGAAAATGGAGAAAAAAAATGAATGAAAAACGATTAGAAAAAATCAGAATAGCAAAAATACAAACTAAATGAAAAAAAATGAAAATAAATAAAGGAAAGAAAATATCAAAAGAAAAAAGGAAAAAAAAATCAGAGCTAAATAAATGAAAGAAAACCAAAGAAAAGATAAAGAAATTGAAAGAAAAAATAAAACCGAATAAAAATTTATGACAAAAAAAAAAACACGGTCCAACATCCCAATCCCTCACGTAGCTAAAAATATCTGCAAATTATCGTACACCGCGATGTTGCGTGATCACCGCGAGCGGAGATTATCGTACGCTGGCAAAATCTCTCGTGCACGTTATTGCAAAGCTGATCCATCAAAAAAGAACCAAAAAAGAGAGAGAAGAATAAAAGAGAAACGTAAACAAAAAGAAGAGTAATGGAAAGAAAGAAGAGACGAGAGCTAAAATGCTAAAATGAATAAAACATTGTATGATCTGTAGGTGTGTGACGTCACCAACCCCCCACGATGACGTCAGAGAAGACAATCGTATTTCAACAAAACTCAAACAAAACACAAACAAACAGAACAACCTTCCCACAAACCTCACCTTTCTCTTTCTCTTCTTCTCTCTCTCTCTCTCTCTCCCTTTTCGTCCTATTTCTTCCCCAGCCTAAAAAGAGCGAGTGTTTATTCCCGCCATTTAAGAAGAGAACACCGTGCATCTGGCAGCCGTTGGGTTTACCTGTTCGCCCAATCAATCAAACGAAACGGTGGATTAATTTACTAAAAACCCTTTCATTTCGCTCATTCCCTGCGCAATCAAATCTATGTCACAATTATATTCTCATTTTTTTCATATCTGAGTTTTTTTGTAAAGGAAGTGGGAGATTACAGGGAGGGAGGAAAGGGGGAAGGGGGGAAGGGAGGGAGGGAGAAGGGGGGAAGGGGGGAAGGGGGAGGGAGGAGGGAGGAGGGAGGGAGGAAGGAGGGAGGGAGGGAGTAGGGAGGAAGGAGGAGAGAGAAGAGAAGAGAGAGAGAGAGAGAGAAGAGAGAGAGAGAGAGACCGAGAAGAGAGAGAGGAGAGGAGAGAGGAGAGAGGAGGAGAGAAGGGGGGGGAAGGTGGAGGAAGAGAGGAGGAAAGGAAATGGGAAGATGTGAGGGAGGAAGAAGGGGAAGAGGGCAGGAAGGGGAAGGGAATGGAGTGGAAAGGGTGGAAGGGGAAAAAGGGGGAGGGAGGAAAAGAGGAACGACGGTGTGAAAGGGAAAGAAGGAAACGGAAGAGAACAAGGGGAAGGGGGAAAGGAAGGGGCGAGAGGGGAAGAAGGGGAGGATGAGGAAGGGGAGAAAAAGAGGGGGATTTTAACACCGAAAAAAATGGCACATAATTTATAACACACCTAGCCCCCCAACCCCCCCCCCCCAAGCTCGCACGCTCCAGTACCAAACCCGACAGAGCGGCGCCTCTTCCGCCCCTCCCCCTCCCCCCTCCTCACCCCACCCCACCCAACCCACCCATCCGAGCTACTCATTCCCTCATTCCCCCTCCACCCCCACCCCCCCGCCCCATTCTGGAAGATCGCTGGACACGATCAAGATGTTGCGCCGATGAGACACGCACACAGGCAACCCTTACGCGCACATACACACGCACACATTTACAAACACTTACATACACAGATACACTTACGCACGCCCACATTATAAACACTTAATACACAATACACACACGCAAGCACGCACACATTTATAAACACTTACATACACAGATACACACACGCAAGCACGCCCACATTTATAAACACTTACATACACAGATACACACACGCAAGCACGCACCACATCTATAACTTACATTACACAGATACAAACACGCACGCGCGCACACATTTAAACACTACATACACGATACACACACGCACGCACGCCACATCTATAAACACTTACTCACAGATACACACACGCACGCACGCCCACATCTATAACTTACATACACAGATACACCACCTACACACCACTGACACACACCGCCCGCAAATCCAATCACGGACACACAGACCTACAAACACACACACGAAAGCAAACAAACACAATCACACGCAACGGCCCACTTACCTACTTACCTACTTACCTACTTACCTACACACACCAAATTACTGCGACCCTTCCGACCCCCATCCGTCTCAAGCCCATACCCTCCCACCCCTACCCATATACCCCCTCCCTCCCACAAACACCCCTACCCCCCACCCCCCCATAGACCCTAACAAGGCACCCCAACTTCGACTCTCCACACCACACGCCCATACCCATATCGCCCTCCTCCACACACGCATGCCCCAACCCCCCCCCCTCCCACACACACCTATACCCCCTCAGACCTAAACAACCTCAAACCCAAACAACCGCAAACAAGTCCAAATCACAAACGCAAACACCCTTAACCGAAAAAAACGCTATAAACCTTAACCGAAAAACAACAACCAAACAACAAACATCCTAAACAACTCCAAATCGCAAAAAAAAACAACCGCAACAACCCTTAAAAACACAAAACAACGCAAAAAAACCAAAACAACCACAAAAAAACAACCGCAATCAACCCTTAACAACCGCAAAAAAAAACAACGCAAACAACCACAACAACAACTGCACCCTTAACAACCACAATAACAAAGTAAAACAAGCCCAAGCAACCGCCCCACACCGCCCCACCCCGCCCCGTCTATGACCCGGAGTCCAGCGTTTCTGCGTCGCGCGCCTGCCTCCTCGACGGCACTCGGTGGCACTCTCCGCCCGGCACTCCTGGCCACTGGCACTCCCGCCCGCGCCTCTGCAAAGGGCCAGGCGCCGCCGGGAGTCGGGGCGGCCGCGCGGGCTTCTCCTCCGGGCTGGGCGGGGATATTGCTGCTCTTTGGCTGTTGTTGTTGTGTTGTTGTGTTGTTGTTGTTGTTGTGTTCATGTTGTTATTTCTATTGTTTTGCTCTGTTGTTGATTATTGTTGTTGTTGTTGTTTATGTTTTATTTCTATTTGTTTTGCTGTTGTTGATTGTTGTTGTTGTTGTGTTTATGTTATTTCTATTGTTTTGCTCTGTTGTTGATTATTGTTGTTGTTGTTATTTTTATGTTGTTATTTCTTTTGTTGCTTTGGTTGTTGATGTGTTTATCGTTGACTGATGTTGTTTTTCTGTTCTTGATTGTTGTTTTCTTGTTACTGTTGTTTTCATTGCTGCTGTTGAAAGACTGCCACGAATATAATACATCCGTTCATATTGTGGCTGCGGCTACATTCTCATCTTCGTGTATACGTTACTGTGTTTGGTTGTTTTACACACACACACGTCCACACACGCATGCCCCCCCACCACCACACAACACACTACACACAACACACACGCACCACACCACACACACACACACACACACACACACACACACACACACAACACACACACAATCCGATTCATTGCATTTAGCAGTCTCTTAAACGCCCTCGCTCTCTCTCGCATTCTCTGGCGTTTCTCTTGTCTTTCTCTCTTTCTCTTATCTCTGATTTTTTTCTCTCTCCTTTTATTTCTTCTTCTTTTCTCTTTTTTGTCCTTATTTTTTTCTTTTCTTTTTTATTGTATTTTTTCGCTTCCTATTGTCTCTTTTTTATCTCTCTCTCACTTTCTATATCTATCTCTGTCTGTTGTCTGTCTGTCTGTGTCTGTCTGTCTTGTCTGTCTGTCTGTCTGTCTGTCTGTCTGTCTGTCTGTCTGTCTGTGTCTGTCTGTCTGTCTGTCTGTCTGTCTGTCTGTCTGTCTGTCTGTCTGTCTGTCTGTCTGTCTCTCTCTCTCTCTCTCTCTGGGTCCATGAGAAAGGGAGGGGAGTGGGAAGGGGTAATGTAGTCCATCCATAGGAGTGGGAGGAGGGAGGGAGTGGAGGGGGAGGGGGAGAGGGAAGGGGAGGGGGAAGGGGAAAGGGGGGAGTGGAGAGGGAAGGGGAGGGAGAGAGGGTGAGGGAAGGGGGAAAGGGGGGGAGTGGGGGAGGGAGAGAGGGGGAGGGAGAAGGGGTGAGGGGAAGGGGAAAGGGGGAGTGGAGAGGGAAGGGGGAGGAGAGGGGGGTCCAGGTGTAGGCCCCTCGGTGGGAAACCATTTTGGAAATTGACCAATAAAACCCAAGTTCATAATCACTTTTTGCGGATTCTGTGCCGGGGACCGAGTGCCGCCCAGGGTGCCCGCGCCGGTGGCACTGTAAAGAGGGAGGGAGGAGGAGGGGGAGGGAGGGAGGGAGGGGGAGGGAGGAGGGAGCGGAGGGAGGGAGGGAGGGAGGGAGGAGGGAGAGAGGGAGGGAGGGAGGGAGTGGGAGGGAGAGAAGGAGGGAGGCAGGGAGAGAGGGATGGAGGAGGGGAGAAGGAGGGGAGGGGAGGGAGAGAGGAGATGGATGGGAGGGGGGAGGGAGGAGGGAGGAGAGAGAGAGAGAGAGAGAGAGAGAGAGAGAGAGAGAGAGAGAGAGAGGAGAGGAGAGAGGGAGAGAGAGTGAGGAGAGGAGAGAGAGAGAGAGAGAGAGACAGAGAGAGAGGGGGGAGATGAGGAGGTCAAGGGGAGGTTGGAAGGAGGGAGGGATTGCACGCGTGTGTGTGTGTGCTCGTGTGCGTATTCCCACGTATCCGTGTACATTCCCGTATATCCGTGTTTGTCCGCAGGTCCGCGTTGAGCCCCGTCCGTCGCCCATTCCCCTGTCACCGCACCCCGACCCACGCACACCCCGACCCACGCATACACTCACCCAATAACAACGCCCCAATAACAATCCCCCAATTACAACTCTCCAATAACAACCCTCCAATAACACCCCCAATAACAATCCTGCAATAACAACCCCCCAATAACAATCCCCAATAACACCCCCCAATAACAATCCTGCAATAACAACCCCCCATAACACCCCTAACACCCCCCCAATATCAACCCCCCTCCCAAATAACAACCCGCCAATCCAGCTGCCCATCAGCGCTCCCCCCCCCCCCCCCCCCGCCGCCAATTACGAGCCACAATCTCCCCCACAATCGAGGCCGCTATCTCCCTCTCCCCGTCGACACGCGAAACAATATCGCGAGAGGTTCACCTGCGCGTGATGGCGGGATCGCTTTCCGCAGGTGTCGCCGCCCGGGAGGGAGGGGGGGGGGGTGCACACGCATGTACACATAATATTCACGCACACGTATGTATATACACTTGCATGTGCACATACAGTCGCAGCGTGTGGACGGAGAGAGCGAGGGGAGGGTGGGTGCACACGCATGTACACATAATATTCACGCACACGTATATACACTTCCATGTGCACATACAGTCGCAAGCGACGGAGAGGGAGAGGTAAGGGGGGGGGGTGCACAGCGCATGTACACATAATATTCACGCACACGTATATACACTTCCATGTGCACATACAGTCGCAAGCGTGTGGACGGAGAGGGAGAGGTAAGGGGGGGGTGCACACGCATGTACACATAATATTCACGCACACGTTTATATACACTTGCATGTGCACATACAGTCGCAAGCGTGTGGACGGAGAGAGCGAGGGGCGGGGGGAGGTTCACACGCATGTACAGACACATGTACAGACACATGTACACACACTTGCACATACACTTCCGCACGCACATGCAAAAGGCATATACACCTGTACACACACACATTCATGTACATTTATAATCTTTCTTCTACTGGTAGTATAAATGAAAGAGAAAGGAGAGCCATAAATGAAATAAATGAAGGAATAATATACTGAGAGAGAAAGAAAGGTAAGAGAATGGAAGAGAAAAGAGAGAGAGAAGAGAGAGAGAGAGAGAGAGAGAGAGAGAGAGAGAGAGAGAGAGAGAGAGAGAGAGAGAGAGAGAGAGAGAGAGAGAGAGAGAGAGAGAGAGAACCAGAAAGAATAAAAGCCAAAAGGAAAGATCGAACAACAACAAAAACGAAAAAAAACACAGAGACAGAGGGACAGAAAATGCAATAATGACTACGGCACTGGGCACCGCTTATACGAGTCACCCCCCATCTCCCCTCCCCCCACCACTACCCCCATTTCCCCCCAGACACTGAAGTCCAACAACCCCCCCCCCCCCTCTCTCTCCTCTCCTCCCCTCCCCCTCCCACCACCCCCTTTCCCTCCAGACACTGAAGTCCTCCACCCTCCCCTCTCCCGCTTCTCTCCTCTCCTCTTCCCTCCCTCCCTCCCCCCTCCACCCCGCCCATCCCCCAGTCAATAAAACAAGTACGGGACCATTGCGAAGTTGAGTCAACAAGTGTGAGCCAGAATTGAAGGCTCTCCCTCTCTTACCCCTCCTTCGGTCTCTCCTTCTCTCCCCTCTCTCTCCCTCCTCTTCCCTCTTCCCTCTCTCTCTCCCTCCCTCTCCCTCTCTCTCCCTCCTCTCCCCTTCCCTCTCCCTCCCTCCTTTCCCTCTTTCCCTCTCCCTCCCTCCTCTCCCCTCTTCCCTCTCTCTCCCTACTCCCTCTCCTTTCTCTTCTCCCCCTCCCCCTCTTCCCTCTCTCTCTCTCCCTTCTCTCCCTACTCCCTCTATTTCTCCTCTCCCTCTCTGTCCTCTCCCACCCTACCCCCACCCCTTTCTCTTCTCTCTCTCTGCTACTCTTCCTATCTCTCTCTCTCTCTTCTCTCCCCACTCTTCTCTCTCTCTCTCTCCCTTCTCTCCCTACTCCCTCTATTTCTCCTCTCCCCTCTGTCCTCTTCCCCACCTACCCCCCCCTTTTCTCTCTCTCTATCACTCTTCCTCTCCCCACTCTTCTCTCTCTCTCTCTCTCCCTCTCCCCACTCTTCTCTTCCTCTCTCTCCCTTTCTCCCCCTCGCACTCCCACTCCCCTCCCCTTCTCCCTCCCTCACCCTCCTCCCTCATCCTCCTCCCTCCCTCCCTCCCCCTCCCTCCCTCGCCTCCTCCACCCCTCACCTCCCTCCCTCCCGCCCTCCTCCCTCCCCTCCCTCCCTCCTCCTTCCCTCGCACTGCATTCCACCCCCAAAGAGACATCCTCACGGCCACTAAATCATCATTTGCAACGTAATCCGCTCCCCCCCCCTTCTTTAGTCTTCTTCTCCCTCCTTCTTCACCTTCTTCTGCTTCACCTCCTTCTCCATCTCTCATTCCTTCTCCTTCTCTTTCGTTCCCTTCCCTTTCTATTTCCCCAGTTCTTCAGCTACCTTTAGTTCCTTCTCCTTCTCTTCTATTTCTCCAGTTCTTCCTCTAATTCCTGCCTTCACATTCTTGTTCCACCTCCTCTTCATCTTTAGCCTCTGTCTCCGCCACTTTCTCCTTCTACTTTACCTCTTTTCCGATCTACATTTCATTCTCTATCTCCTCTCCATTCATTTCATTTTCTTCTACTTCTCCATTTCTTTTTTCCATTTCCTATTCATTCTCCTCTCCCTTCTCCACCCACCCCTTTCTCCTTCTATTCTCTACCTCTAATTCCTTCTTTTTTTCTTCTCCACCTCCTCCCACCCCCCATTCCCCTCCCCCCCTTTCCTTCCCCCCCCCCTTCCCCTCCTCCTCCTCCCCTTCCCCTCCTCCTCCTCCTCCTCTTTCCCCTTCCCCTTCCCTCCTTCCCCTCCCTCCCTCCCCCTTCCCCTCCTCCTCCTCCTCCCCCTTTCCCCTCCTCCTCAATACCCACCCAACCCCCCACCCCTCCCCCTGTCACCTGTCCTGTTTCCCAGCTCCACAGGGTAATGCGAGCGAGCGAGCGGGAGGGAGGGAGGGAGGGAGGGAGGGGGAGGGCCGCCCGCGCTCCCACGGGCGCCAAATGCCTTTCAAAACTCTCCCTTTCTGCGTCTGCGTCCGTGAGTGGAGGTGTGGGGGGGGGTTTCTATCTATCTGCCTCATCGCTCTCTCTCTCGCTCTCTCTCTCTCTTCTCTCTCTCCTCTCTCTCTCTCTCCCTCTCTCTTTTCTCTCTCTCTCTACACCTACTCCTCCCCCTCCTTTCCCTCCCCTTCCCTCCCCCTCTCCCCTCCCAACCCTCCCACCTTCCCCTCTCCCAACCCCTCCACCTTCCCCTCCCTCCTCTCCCCTCTCCCTCTCCCAACCTGTCTCCCCGAATCTGTCTCTCAAAAGCCTGGTCTTCCAGTCAGCGGCTCGTCTTCGTCTTCGCGATTGACAC